ATGTCACAGAATCTATTTTGTTCATCAATTTATTATGTTCTTTAGATTCCATATATGATTGAGATTATGTGATATTTGTCTTTCTCTGCCTGGCTTATTTCGCTTAGCATAATATCCTCCAGGTCCATCCATACCGTCCCAAAGGGTATGAGACCCTTCTTCTTTACAGCTGCATAGTATTCCATGGTGTAAATGTGCCACAGCTTTTTTATCCACTCATCTACTGATGGGCACTTGGGCTGTTTCCAGATCTTAGCTAATGTAAACTGTGCTGCTATGAACATAGGGGAGCATATATTCTTTCTGATTAGTGTTGCAAGATTCTTAGGATATATTCCTAGAAGTGGGATCACTGGGTCAAATGGCAGCTCCATTTTTAATTTTTTGAGGAACCTCCATACTGTTTTCCACAGTAGCTGCACCAGTCTGCATTCCCACCAGCAGTGTATTAGGGTTTCCCTTTCCCCACACCCTCGCCAGCACATGTCATTTGTTGATGCAGCCATTCTGACAGGTGTGAAGTGATACCTCATTGTGGTTTTAATTTGCATCTCTCTGATGATTAGCGATGTTGACCATTTTTTTCATGTCCCTTGGCCATCTGTATGTCTTCTTTGGAGAAGTATCTATTCAGGTCCTTTGCCCATTTTTTAATAGGATTGTTTATCTTCCTCTTGGTAAATGTAAGTCATGAAACCATAAAAACCCTGGAAGAAAACGTAGGTAGTAAAGTCACTGATATCTCACATAGTGGAATTTTCACCGATACATCTCCTAGGGCAAGAGAAACAGGAAAAAATAAATAAATGGGACTACATCAAACTAAAAAGCTTCTGCACAGCAAAGAAAACATCCTCAAAATACAAAAGAACCCCACAGTATGAGAGAACATATTTGCCAAGGATACATCTGATAAGGGGCTAATTTCCAAAGTGTGTGTTTGTTTTTAATTCCACTGATCTAGATTTATTAAAAACACAAACCTGCTATCTCTNGTGTGTGTTTTTAATTCCACTGATCTAGATTTATTAAAAACACAAACCTGCTATCTCTTCACAGTGCCACTAGATGTGAAAGAAATATAGCAGTAAGTATCTTTACTGGGTGTTACATAGCAGTATTACTCAGGGTTTTTTGGAGGAGTGGGGAGAATTGCCATGTGCTTAGTTTAATCCCTCAAGTATCTGAATCTTTCCCTGTAGTTATTTCAGACAGACTTCCATGTTTGTAAATGCCAATTAATTATGTCTAAGGATGTGTTGATATAAATGCAAGTTACTGATCATTTTCATTCAACCCCTTATTTTTCACGTGTTCATTATCTACATAAATTATATATCTGTGTCTAATTTTCAGTTCCTGGGAAGGAGCCCTGGGAATTGAACTACTAGGATGAGGGTCCCTTCATACCACTTAAACCTGTTCCCTTTTTACCTTGCTGCCCATATTAATTCAGAGAGAGAAGGTTATTCACTATTTCATATTATTCCTATTTTTCATATGGCTGTATTAGCTGACTATAAGACTAAGTATTTAAGTAAAGTCTACATTTTTCCATTTCTCGACATTTTTTAATGTCAAAAGATTGGTCGTTGTGCTTGCTGCAGCGACACATATACTAGAATTGAACAATGCAGAGGAGGTTACCATGGCGCCTGCGCAAAGACAGCGCGCAGATGTTTGAATCGTTCCATATTTTTGTGGTTCCCTGAAGTTTGGCTCTTTCTCTGCTGGTTCACACCAAGAAAATAGTGATGTCTGGGGAGGCCACTCAGGAGGCCCATTTGGGGTCTGTCCCCTCCCCCCAGAGTCCCTGCCTCAGGTCCCTCCAGGCATCTCCACAACTGCCTCATTCATATTACAACTATTAAATTAACTAGGTAATCTTGTATTTGTATTCAGATGTTTATTTTCATTGATTAAAATGATCTTAAAATAGAAAAGATTTATATAAGAAAATTACCTTTGAAAGCCAGCCATGATCCACTTAATCAGACCAGAATTCTTTATAGTGGTGAACCAATGATTTCAGGCTTTTTATCTATTAGTCTATCAATATGCTGTGCCTCTGTTTACCCAGTTTTTGACAGTTTAGCTATAGAACTATATCTCATTAGCAAGTTTGTTTTTAAAGAATGATACCTTTTCCTTTTTCTTTTTAACCTATAAGCTCTAACTGGACCTGACTCAAAGCAGTAGCATTTTCAAACCTGTCTCCGCAGCTGACTATAAGAAACAACATAGGGTCCCTGAGTTGAATTTCCAAGCAAGTAGGAGCTTTATATAAATTTTCAATAGCCTGCCATGTCTTAAGTATTCAGTGACAATTACCTGTACAGAACATTCTCATCCTGTCACTAGTTTTACCAAAAAAATCACATATCTGCTTATGCTGCCAATTCAACTATTGAAAGAGTAATGAATTCCAAGCACAAAACAATAACCATGAGAATAAAAGTTGAATGGTTTGTGATATCACTGGACTCTTTTAAAAGATCACTAATCGTAGATATCTTATGTGGTATTTGAAATACGAGTTTCTAGAGAAATTTTAGTAAAAATGCTACACACTTCTATTATATAACTATATTTTTATGTATATATTTCCTATGTGTATTAAGTATTTATTTGGTCAGTATTATTACCATTGGCGATATGGCAAGTTACAATGGCCAATGAAATTAATACAAGTAACACAGAAATCACAAAACACATATCATTTATATATATATATAGCTTAAAACTTCCGAGTAATTGCTGAAAATTGTTGTCTCCCAATATTGTGAAATCCAAAGGTGTTTTTCCATGATCACTCTCTTGAAACTATTCAGGTGCCTTGGAGAATCTTACTTGTCATCTTCCCATAATGTTTAACCATCACATTTTAATGGCCTCTCAAAATTTATAAACTTAAAAACTAAGGCACATTATACTTCCTTTTTTTCCAGCTATGAAAGTGGCAATGGGAATGCAAAAGCAAATCACAGCTAAAAGAGGTCAGATAGATGCCCTTCAGAGCAAGATACAATTTTTGGAAGAGGCAATGACAAATTCAAATAAGGTAAGTTCCTGTCGTGGGGTGGGGAAACCAATACGTTCACTCATGAATGCACTAGGAAACAGAATAAGAGAGAGCAGAGATTAAAAAGCACAGTGGAGAAAAGAGAAGAGGTTATTTCTGACCGAGAAAACGAGGAAAAGGTTCCTAAAGGACATTTGAGCCGGATCTCAAAAGAGCTAGTTAAATGCAGGAAGTGGGCAAACGTGAGAGAGACATTCCTGATAGAGACAGGGAATGATTATAAACAAAGCAGTTTCTCTATAATGTGGCATGTGTTCCTAAAATTACTGTGGTATACAAAATTGTGCAATAAAAACCACAGGGTTTATGGAAACAATGGGATGAGGAACACTACACTAACAGATTTCATCAGTGACACACACACACAAAAGGAACCTAACGAAAATGAGAGCACAGTACTACACGTGTTCAGTGGTTCGGAAATATATAAATACTTCAGCAGCTATGCCCCCTTACCTTAAAAAACACCAGAAGTTTCCTTGTGGAAGTGTGTTGAAGGGCTGCAGCTTGTGAATTGCTACGAAGGGGTAGAAGGTGGCTTTTATATAACGCCAGCTGTGCTTGGATGTGACTCATAATACAAAGTAAATTGAGGAGCTGAAAAATAGTTGAACAGTGTATGTATGCTTTTTGTATATTCCTATGCAGCTTTGTTTAGCTGGGTGCAGTTTCCTGCATTTACTAATATTTCTCATAAATGAAATTTCACATAAGTAAAAGTGATATTTGTACCCTAGCCGTTTTACTCAGTGGTTAGAGCCTTGGCCTGTGGACTGAAAGGTCCCAGGTTCGATTCTGGCCAAGGGCACATACCTTGGTTGCAGACTCTATCCCTGGCCCTAGTCGGGTCATGTGTGGGAAGCAACCAATAGATGTGTCTCTCTCAAATAGATGTTTCTCTCTCAAATCAATGTTTCTCTCTCTCTCCTTCCACTCTCTTCTGAAAAGTAATGGAAAAAATATTCTCAGGTGAGGATTAACGAAGAAAAAAAAAGAAAGAAAGAAATTTGTGTTATGCCCAAATGTCCCCTGATAAATCACACTTTGGAACAAATTTGCATTTTTCCCCATCATTTAAATTATTAAAATTTTATTTTATTTAAAACATTTTAGAAGGGTAAGAGAGAAAAATAAACTCTAAGAATTTTAGGTCTGGATGAGCCCAGAGATGTCTCCTAGGACAAGTTTGCATTTTTAAAGGAAGAGTTAGAACTGACTGTAATGGAGGTGAGACTACAAAGAGCAAATAATAAGTGCAACTCAAGTAATTGCTTTCCCCACACCCAAAATGAGCTGCTGAAATACCTGTTTAGAATGAGGCTAAATATTAACAAATACGTATATACTTCTTTGTTCTTTACCATTTGTTTTCTCCCTTTTTTTCCTCATCCTGAATTTTTCTTTTTTCATCCATTATTTGCCTGTTTGGAACCTAAAGCAGTGCTTTTGCTTATCCTCCCTGAGGGCACTTAGTACATTAAGAGTACTGCCTGCTGTCACCAAGATGCCTGCCCTCACTAAAGGAAGGTATTCATCAGAGCTCAGTGGGCATTCCCTTCTAAAGGAAATGTGGCAGTTTGTAAAATAAATCCCCCTTTCTTTCTGAAACCTTTTCTGCCTAACTAACCAGAAAAGGAATAATTATTTGCATCCAAAATGTGTATTACAGTGATGATACTACCTTGTTTACATTAAACATTTTCTCTATGAAAAAGATATTTAAAGAAATATAGACTCAATAAGTTGAAGTCTGTGTTTTAACTTGACTACTATGCATTTCTTTTTGTCTGCCTATTCCATCATGTTTTTTAAAGGAATGAACTAATTTTTTTTTTTTTTTTTAAATATATCTTCATTGACTTCAGAGAGAGGAAAGGAGAGTGAGAGAGAGAGATAGAAACATCAATGATGAGAGAGCCATTGATCAGCTGCAGCCCGCAACCCGGGCATGTGCCCTGACCAGGAATCGAACCCTGATCACCTGGATCCTAGGTCGATGCTCAACCACTGAGCCATGCCGGGCTGGGCGGAATGAACTAATTTTAATGAAATTTTTGTTGAATCCCAAAGACTTTCTATAAATATACCAGTAAGCTCATTCTCATTATTGGCCCATAAGTGTCTTGAGGGCGGAGCTGTATGACCCATTTCTTTTTATGTTGGAGGGACTGCTGGCATTTGTGAAATGAATATTCAACCTTGAAACAAAATAGAAACTCATAAAACTTTCAAATAAATGCATCTTCTTTAAATGTCTTCTGTCATTTTAAACAAGTTTCAAAAAAATTTGTTGTATGATCACTCATTCTCTAATTACCATACACTTTCTTATTATGACAACATAAGGATTTACTAAGCCTAGGAAAAATAATAATACCAGTAGTGATAAAAATGAGACAGTACATGGGAACATCATTCTAGCAGCTCCTAACTCTAACTCAGAAGCAATTAAATGGCCTATGAATTAAACTGTATTCAGATCTTTATATAAGTTTTATATTTTCATCACATCTCAGCATCTACATCAGTATATTATTGCTGCTATCTTTCTCCTCTTAATTGTAGGAAAAGCATTTTCTAAAAGAAGAAAAGAATAAATTAAGCCAGGAGTTGAGTACTGTTGCAACAGAGAAAAACAAGATTGCTGGAGAACTAGAAGTCCTGAGATCTCAGGAACGTCGTTTGAAAGAAAAGGTTGCAAATATGGAAGTTGCTCTTGATAAGGTAGTTATTAACTAAATATATAAAGTTTTCATCTACTAAATAGCTATTAACTAAGCAGAATTATTCTGAATGAAAACTCCATGTTGGTAGGAACCAAATCTGTATTATAGCTCAATCACCTAGCACACTGAAAAACCGTCCTATAGAGAAGACTATTCTGAGCTTTAAGAATACAGTTATAGAGTGACTCAGCAATCTTATCTGGAGACACATTGGTTGTGGGGGCATTGCACCAACCACAAGGAACAACATTTCATGGACAACTGAAATTGGCATTCAAGAGCAAGGCTCCTGCCTTCAAGTTCAAGATGGTGGAGTAGGAAGATCCTGAGCTCACCTTCTCTCACTGGCATCAAAACTACAACTACTTATAGGACAGCTATCTCTGAGAATAACCTGAAGACTACCAGAACAGATTTTCTACAATTATGGATATAAAGAAAAAGCTACATTGAAACGGGTAGGAGGAGTAGAGACTAAATCTAGTCAGGACCTACCCTATCTCCCACTGCCCTTGAGGTGACTCACATGAGGGAGAAATATCACAACTAGGGAGGTCATCCCCCAAAAGAATGAGGAGCCTGAGCCCTAGCCTGAGTGACCTGCACCAGAAAGAGGAGCCCCCTTAACATCTGGCTTTGAAAACCAGCAGGGCTTACATCTAGAAGAACCAAAGGGCTATAGGAAGTCCAGGTTGCTCTCCTTCTGATTCCCAGCACAGAGGCAACAGTTTGAAAAGCACCTAGGTCATATGTGAAGGTGATACATTGACTAATTTTAGGGTGTGTGCTGGAGGGACAGGGATATTTTGGAACTTTCTCCTGAGTCAGAGGTGCTGGCAGGCACCATTTTTCCCCCTTTCTTTAACCTAGCTGGTATGACACTGGCAGGTGCCATTTCTGACACTCTCCATTGACCTTACTAACACTCTTCACCCCACCCTGGGGTTTCCCTGAGGACCCACCCAAGATAGCACCCCTCCAAAACAGCTCCTGCCCTGCCACACCCAGTGGGAAACTGTAGTTAGCACCAGCACACAGCAGTGTCTCTGCAATAGCATGTTTGGGCCTCGCAGCCCGCCACACCAAAGGCTTGCCCATATATCACTGATCCCACAACAGTTGTGGCCAGGCCTCAAAGTCAGTGGTCCCAAGAGTAGCCTCTCCTGCCAATGTGTCCATAGAAATTGTGGTCCAACCACAATAGGAGGCCACACTAGTCCACCCAGGGAACATCTCTGGAGCACCTGGCTCTGGTTACAAGGGGGATTCCACCACTTAGCCCCACCAGACACCTTCTAAATAAGGTCACTTTTTCAAGACCAGGAGATTTAGCTGACCCACCTAATACATAGAAACAGACAGACAAAATAAGAAGAGAAAAGAATGTTACAAACAAACAATCCACAGGACAAAACCCCAGAAAAAGAACAAACTGAGGTAAGCTGTCTACTAGATAAAGAGTTCAAAGTAATAGTCACAAAGATGCTCATCAAACTCTGCAGACAAGTGGATAAACTCAGAACTTCAAAAAAGACATAAAAATTATAAAAAGTACCTATCAGAACTGAAGATTATAACAAATGAAAGATACACTGGAGGGAATCAGAAGAATGGATCAGCTGTCAGGAAGACAGGATAATGGAAATCACCCAATTGGAAGATCAAAAAGAGAAAGTAATCTAAAAGAATGAGAATAACATAAGGGACCTTTGGGACAACATCAGCCGTAATGGCATTCAAATCATAGGGGTTCCAGAAGGAGAAAAGAGAAAAAGGGACAGAAAACTTATTGGAAGAAATAATGGCTGAAAACTTCCCTAATCTGGTAAAGAAAATGGTCATCCAAGTCCAGGAAGCACAGACAGTCCCAAAGAAGATGAACTCATAGACTTAAACCAAGACACATTAACTTTTAACAATTTAATTATAGAGAGAGAATCTTAAAAGCGGCAAGAGAAAAACAACTAGTTACATACAAGGGAATGTTCATAAGATCATCAGCTGACTTTTCAACAGAAATTTTGCAGGCCAGAAGGGAGTGGCATGATATATTCAACATGATGAAAGGAGAAAACCTAGAGCCAAGAATACTCTACGCAGCAAGGTTATCATTCAGAATTGAAGGAGAGAACAAGATTAAAAGCTTTTGCACAGCAAAAGAAACCATCAGTAAAATGAAAAGGGAACCCACTGAATGGGGAAAACATATTTGTCAATGATACATCTGATAATGGGTTAATTTCCAAAATATATAAAGAACGTATACAACTCACCACCAGGAAGACAGACAATCCAATTAAAAAATGGGCAAAGGACCTGAATATACACTTCTCCAAAGAGGACATAGAGATGGCCAGCAGACATATGGAAAAATGCTTAATGCCACTAATCACAGAGAAATGCAAATTAAAACTACCATGAGATATCACAGACCTGTCAGAATGGCTACCATCAATAAATCAACAAACAACAAGTGAGGATGTGGAGAAAAGAGGACCCTCATGCACTGCTGCTGGGAATGCAGACTGGTTCAACCACTGTGGAAACAGCATGGAGATTCCTCAAAAAATTGAAAATGAGACTGCCTTTTGACTCAGGGATCCCACTTCTGGGAATATATACTAAGAAACACAAAACACTAATTCGAAAAAATATTTGCACACCTATGTTCATTGCAGCATTATTTACAATAGCCAAGATCTGGAAAGAGCCCTAGTGCCCATCAGTAGATGAGGGGATAAAAAAAGCTGTGGTACATTTACACAATGGAATGCTACACAGCTTTAAAAAGAAGAAAATCTTACCTTTTGCAACAGCATGGATGGACCTGGAGAATATTATGCTAAATAAAATAAGCCAGTCAGAGAAAGACAAATACCATATGATCTTACTTATATGTGGACTCTAATGAGTAAAATAAACTGGCAAAACCAGAGGCATGGATACAAGGAACAGACTGACAGCGTGAGAGGGGAAGGGCATTGGGAAGAACGGCATTGGGGGACTGGATGAAAGAAGATCCAATTAGCCAAACATCATATATGCATAACACAGACACAGACAACAGTGTGGTGATAGCCAGAGGGAAAAGGGGGGGGGGCTCTGTGGAGGTGGGCAAAAGTGAGGTTTATGGGGACAGAAAGAGACTTTGTTTGAGGTGATAAACACACAATGCAGTGTGCAGACGATGTTTTATTGAGTTGTACACTTGAAACCTGTATAGTTTTGTGAACAATGTCATACCAATAAATTCAATTTAAAAAAAAATTTTATCCAGACAAGCAAAAGCTAAAGGAGTTTATAACCCCTAAACTGGCATTACAAGAAATGTTAAAGGGAATTCTTTAAAGTGAAAAAGAAAAGGCAAAAACTAGAAATAAGAAAATACATGGAAGAAAAACATCCCACTCATAAAAGCGAACATATAGGAAAGATAGTAGACCAACCATTTTAAAATCTAGTATGAAAACAATTTAAATGGCAATAAGTACATACCTATCAATGATTACTTTAAATGTAAATTGACTGAGTACTCAGTTAAAAAACATTGGGTGACTGAATGGATAAAAAACAGAACACTTACATATGATGCCTATATGAGACTCCAGATTAAAAGACAGACAGACTGAAAATAAAGGGATGGAAAAAGATATTTCATGAAAATGGAAACAAAAAAGAAAAGCTGGGATAAGAATGCTTATATCAGACAAAACAGACTTTAAAACAAAGGCTATAACAAGAGACAAAGAAGGACCCAGTAATTCTACTTCGGGGCATTTATCTGAAGAAACAGAACACTAGTTTGTAAAGATACATGCACCCCTATGTTCACTGCAACATTATTTACAATGGCCAAGATATGGAAGCAACCTGGGTGTTCATCAATAGATGAGTGGATAAAGGAGTGGGTATGTTACTCAGCTATGAAAAAGAATGAAATCTTGCCATTTGCAACAACATACATAGACCTAGAGGGTATGATGTTAAGTGAAATAAGTCAGAGACAAATACTATATAATTTCACTTATGCATGGAATCTAAAAAAGTAAATGAACAAATGAACAAACAAAACCAACAGACTTGTAGATACAGCAAAACTGATAGTTGCTAGAGGGTATGGGCTAAAAGGTACAAACTTATAACAGACCTACAGTTATAACATGGATAAGTCACAGGGATGTAAAGTACTGCATAGGGAATACAGTCAATAATATCCCAGTAACTTTGTACGGTGACAGATGGATAGTGGAGTTTTTATGGTGATCACTTAGTAAGGTGTATAAATGTGAAATCTCACTATGTTGTACACCTGAAACTAATATAATATTATATGTCAACTATACTTTAGTTAAAAAGAGCTTCACATTCCAGGGGAAAAAAAGGATACAGTTATAATGTGTACCTTTTACAAAATTATCTGTTCCAGGCTAGCACAGTCACAGGAGATGTAAGCTATAAGATGTAAGATGCTCCTTAGAGGACTGAATAAATAACAGTGTCTCCAATCTAACCACCAAAGAATTACTTGAACACTAAGTAGAAGACAGTCTGTTAATAATATCAATAAAATGATAAAGCAATGCTAATATCTGGCACTTTGTGGGGTCCAGAAGGTGGAGGTAGAAAATACAGCTTAAAGAATGAGAAGGATCGATGACACTGTATTTGTCATTGCCATTTATTATGAAGGAATGTAATCATTTTCTTGTCACCTGATAACACTGGAATGCCAAAAATTTACCCAAACCAGCCCTTGATTCTTAAAAAATCAAAGCCTTCTTTCATGGGTAGATAAAATGATGTGATCTTTTTATCTGTGCCAATTTTGATCTTGAAACATGATACATTGACTTTGCCACTTTTGATCTGAAAGCATGGCGCACTGACTCAATGATTTCAGTCGTGGTTATTTTTCTGTAAATTTTTTACATTTGCTCATTTTCTCTGTAGTGCACTCATTCTTCTGAGTGCCCTCCACATGCTAAATGCTATAGGTGCTGGGATACAGAGGGGAGAGACATGGCCTCCAGTGCTCTCTGTTGACTGGATAAAGCAGATAGCAAGATGAATACCGTGTGTTAAGAGGGGGAGTCCTTGAAGAGATGGCAACTCTGTGTTTATAGATTGATAAAATACAGTTGTGTGAAGTGGAGGGTAAATCTCATGTGGTTGCTTAATTGTAGGCATCTTTGCAGTTTGCAGAATGCCAAGATATAATACAACGCCAGGAGCAAGAATCCATGCGCTTGAAGCTTCAGCACACTTTGGACGTAAAAGTAAGGTCTTTTTCATCATAAATAGTGGGATGAGCAAAGTAATGCTTTTGTGTGATATACTTATATTTTATTACCTTAGATACATCCCAGTGTACTTTCAACATTCTCTGATACTAGCAATTATAAAATCTGTACAAACTTTGTTACATGCGCCCCTGTTTATGTATAGTGTTAAATTGAAGCACCATGCTTAAACTCATAATAAGGGGGGGGAAACACAAAAGTGCCTGCCTTGGCAATACCTGAGGGAAGAGTTTGCATGCAAAGGCCCAAAGTGCAAGTATGTTTGGCCTGTTTGGAGAATAGCAAAAATGATGTAATCTGCATGCCAAAAACTTGTGTTCTTTAAAAACAGTACATTTTCCACTGAAATATATGTCTATTTTCTAAGTATATTTTAAAGTTGCAGGCATACTTTACAGGCTCAGTAATGGATACTTTCACAGCTAGAGCACTCCTGTTGTAGAGGATTTTCGCAGTAGTACGCCAGCACCAGCATGGAGTCTTTGGCAAAATTTGGGAACCAGTGTAGTGGCATAGTGTGCTAGGTGTTTTCATGTCTGGAATGCTTTTATCAACCAGAAGTGTGAAGGCATCTTCCTAAGCACATGCTTAGTCTTCAGAGGGTAACTTAGGCACCCAGAATCATCTTGTTTAAGATGATTGGTTTATGTTTGCAAAAATACATTTTGACAATTATTTTGCTCACATCTGTGTTGTTTTCCAGGAACTTCAGGGCCCTGGATACACCTCAAGTTCTTCTGCGAAACCACGCCTTCTGCAGTCCTCTGCTGCCCGCTCTCACTCTAATATACCATCTTCCCAGTCCACGGCCAGCTTCCTGTCTCATGTAAGGACTGGTCCTACAATCCATGGTGCAAATGACAGAATATATAGAGAATTTTAGACTGAGAAGAATTTCCTTTAAAAAAAATGTATCTTTAGTTATGGCATTTTTAATTGTTAGATTTTAGATTTATGTAGACCAGATGAATGAAAATGTTTTCTTCACTATTTAATGTTTTCTCTGGGGAAAACAAACATGAAGTATTCAGTGGGTTCAATGTTAACAATAACTCTTAAAGTAAATTATTTAATAGCCATCTGTTCAAACCTTTCCATCACAAGCATTTCCAGGTTACAAAGCAAATGCTGAGATAGCAATAATAAGCATTTTTGAAAATGCCAAAGGCAAATTACTGGTGTATCTAATACTCTGCCAAGGTGAAAATGACTCAAGAACTGTATGTGAACTTACTCATAATCATAAAATATTCGGAATTTTGGAAATATTTTCGTATAACCTTTTATACTTTTCAAGCTCGGGGAAAATATGTGCAATGTAAAATTTAGATATATTTCTTCTTAAAAAATATATTTATGGAACCACTAACTCCCTGCAACCTGTATTCAGCTCCAACTCTAAATAAGTAAGACTTATTTCATAAGTCACCCATGAAAATGAATTTCATTAATTAACAGTATTATTGTATGTACAGCAACAGGATCACCAGTGACCTTCCAGTTGTTCTACCTGTGCCATTTAAATGAACATAGCACTGTGAAATGCTGAAATGGATTCCTCTCACACACTTAAGATGTGTGTACTGAAAAACAAGCAATCACACAATAAATAATAGGATAGTCTATCAAACAATAGAATAATTTTTTTTGAGAGAAGGGGAGAGAGAGAAACATCAGTGTGAGAGCAAACCATCGATCAGCTGCCTCTGGGAATCAACAGGCAGCCTTATGGTACATGGGACTATGCCCAACCAACTGAGCCACACCAGACAGGGCTAGAATAATATTAATATTAGAGGGTAAGCATATTCTTCTCTCTGGAGACTAAACTTGAGATGGACAGAGGAAGGGCAGGAGACTGCTGCTTTTTGTTTTAAGTGTTGTAAAATCATTTTACCTTTAAAACCAAGTACATGCTATACTGATAAAAATTAATAAACCCCCCTCTCCAAAAAAAACCTCTGCAAGTCAAATAACAACAACGAAGAACATTTCACCAGGAGTCATTTGGACCTAAGATGTGACTCTCACTACTTTGTGTGACCTTGGAAAGCCAGTTAAATATGTTATACCTTGCTCTTTCCATCTCTAATGAGGAGTCTGGACTAGAAGATCTCTAGGGCCATCTAGAAAGATCAGCTCTGAAATTCCATGACTTTTCATTCATTATCCTAAAACCAAAGTGGTAGATTTTGCCTAGCTGTTTAATATATAGACTCTACTTGATTATAAAGAATTTCACCTATCACTGAAAAAGTATCAGTCATAAATATATTAAATTAAAATTTTAATAGTTCTAACAGCAAAAATAAACTATATTTTCTAAATGGACTGTCAGGCATGTTTTATACAATTAATTTCTTCTCTTAATTAAAATTATAGTATATACTTTTACACAATAAAAGTAACATACATTCTTTGTTTTGTTCATTGGTATCTCTGTCTCAAGTGCCTAGAACAGTATCTAGCATGTAATAGGTACTCAATGCCTATGGTATTCTGTATACTGTGTCTTTTAAAACCCTCCATATTTTGCTCTTGTCTGGATTGGTTGCTTCTCCGCTAGCTGCATGGTAGGCTTCTGGATTCCCTTCTACCTTTTTGTCTGGGTTTTTTGTTTGGTTGGTTGGTCATTTTTTGTGTGTGTTTTTTAGGTTTAATTCCCTTCTTGGTTTATTTCTTTCTTTTGGTTGAGCATATAATGCAGTGACTTCCTGTGAAAAGGTGAATTCTTTGTTTTAAAACTTTGTATGTCTGAAAAATACCTTTATTCTTCACTTAGATTTGATGGTCAAAGTTTTATTGCTGTTATGCCATTTTGGTTCCAGAGTCTTTACCCCTGGGATTCATTTCAGATGATTTATACTGGGCGAGGGGTTCTTTTTTTCTTCGTTGGGTTGGGTACTTAGCAGATTCCCATTTTCTGTTTTTCTCAGAAATTTTCTTGTATCATTTATTTGATCACTTTCTTCTTTCATTTCCTCAATTATTTCTTTCTGGAATTTCTATTTGTCGCCTGTTAGAACTCACTTTAATTTTTACTCCATTTTTCATCTCATCTTTTATTTCCACTTTTTGGGAAATTTCTTCAACTCTTATCTTCCAAACAACTATTGAAATTTTTTTCTGAATATATATTGTTTTAATTTCTGGGATCCCTTTTTGTTTTAAATCTTCTCCATATATAGTTTTATATAATTCTTTCATGGATATGATGTTTTCTCATTTCTGTTTCAGAATATTAACTTCAGTTTTTCATTACTTTCTTCTCTCACCTGAATTATTGCTGTTTCTTCAAATTCATTTTTTTCTGTTTTGTTCTGATGTCTGTCCTTCACATTAGAGACTTTTCTTCAGTGTTTGGTGATCACTGGCTGGCCTTTCATATTTAAGATTGAGGCCCTAAAAGCTGATTAAAAGCTCTTTGAAAGTTGACAGGAGTTGTCAAATAGTAGATGGTTAGGTATTACTTTTTTATTGAGAAACCCAAAAATTATAGGATTTCTTTTTTCCCTTGGTCCTGTCAATTCCGCTAAGGAGGGATTCTCTTAGTACTGACTGGTAGATATAAACCCGTCTGCCGGGCTTCTGGGAGGTGGGTGGGTCAGGGCATGTGAGGTTTCCGTCTACTCTGCGACCTCCCTTAATGCTCACATTTTCAGTTTGCAGCCTCCTTCCTGCTATGCCAGATACTCCTTTGGAGCTTAAAGTCCTTTGGTTCAACCTCACCCAGAGATGAAGCCTCTGGATTCACTTAGGGGGAAAAATGAGCAGTTACCTGATTCTATGGGGGAATGTTAGGGATTCTAACAGCTTCTCCCATGAACTGTTAGCCAGTCCTCCTATGTTGCTGCTCTCCCTTCCCTTGGCCTTCAGGAATACGTGAGACCTCCCTTCCTAGCCTTTCTAGAATCCTTCATGCAGAGCAGGTTGCCTCTTGTTGTGCTGGTACTTTTAGTTTTATTTGTTCTGCTAAGTCAGTGATGGAATTATCCACTTGCTTTCCATTCCCCCAAATTTTGTTATCATTACTCATCTAATATTATCTCTCCTTTTCCTCTTTATCTTGTTAATGTCTTTAGTCACTTTAGTGGGGCTTTAGATAGAGCAGAAATAAACACCAAACTTATGTTTAGAAGCAGAATATTACTGTTTGCATTGTCCTGCACTGTCCCTTCATATTTCTTCTTCCTTTTAGTCTTCTTGTTCTGTGATTCTAATAACAGCTGAGATTTACTGAGCAAAGTACTTTCTGTATATTGTCTAACTTATTCCTCACAACTGCCCACAGGAGTAAGTGCTGATTATTCTGCCTATTTTACAGAAGAAACTTGGCTCTTGGAGCAGCTGAGTGACTTACAGAGTTCACACACCAAAAACACAGCTGTGCCAAGATTTAACTAAGACAGCCTGAGTGAGCCTGTGTTTTTAACCACTATATAGTGCTGCTTCTCTGTACTCCCCTGCCGAATGCTGTTTATAAAAAATGGTTTAAATAACTGATGATATAAAAAGATACTATATCTGACTAATACTGTATTTCATTTGGTTTTGGTGAATGAGGATTGTTCCATTTTAGAGCCTCAAAGACTTCTAAAATTATTCAAATGATTCCCCTTGTGTTATAAGTGAGAAAATAGGAAAACCAGAAAAATTATATTATGTGATTTACATAATAAATCACAAACACCTGGATATGTTTGTATGTATTATGGTATGTATGTGTGTGTATATATATACACACATACACACACACAAATACACATGTAATTGGTAGCTTGACATCAAAGTATTTTATATTACTGTTTCAGACAAAAGTTATTCTAGCACATAAAAAGAGACTGTTTCCAGGACAATATAATCAGTTTATTTCTATATCAGATTCTGTACAGATACACTGGATTTCGTACTAGCTGGGCTTGATCTTTGTCACTGAAGTACCATGATGTGGGCAAGAATTTTAACAACACTTTATAACTTTTGTTTCCTGCTCACTCAATCCTAATATACAGTATAAATAATAGATATACATTCTTAAAAGTATATTTACATCCCATTTTTATTATAGTCTCCTAACAGGAATACAAGTATGAGAGATGGAGTTAATCATTCTCAAAATAGAATAATCCAATTCAAACTGAATGAGATCAAGCTTTTATTTTTAGCTTTTACATTTATCTTCTATCTTTGGAGAATGGAGATGGGACCAGTTGAGAAGCACACATCCTCCCTAGACGTTTCTTATTTCACATCATAACTCATAAATTTGTCTGTAATATGACTCAAGGCCATTAGAATAGTATGTGGAGATGAAGGTGTACTAAAGATCTAACTTAGGAGTTACTTTGGAACCAAATCTAACATAAAATGTAACAGGAATCTAATCAAATCACAGAATAAACCTTAAGTTTAACAGCAACAGTATAAGCTTATATTCTTACCTTGAAACCTAAAGTTTGTAGAAGTTTTAACCTGAAAATGTATGTCCTCTAGAAATAGCCTTAATGGGTGCTCTAAGGGTCATAGGGTTGGGCTGAGGGAGAGCAGGAGTCTTTGATGGTCTCCAGTAACTTTAGGAAGAGCTTATGCTTAGTTATTTCGTTACCAGCCAGGCAAGAGTCATATATAAAGAATGTTTTCTAATTGTTCATTTTCTAACTATTTTCTAATTTTAAAAAGCATATTTTGCTTGTATTATAAATCAAAATATGTCACATATAAATTAAATAGTAAAGTATTAAAAATGAATCAATAAAAGTATTACAAGATATACAAACATTAAAAGGAAAGATTGATAATTTTGACTAAATAAAGCTTAAATCACAAAACCACCATGTACAAAATTTAAAAGGAATCACAAACTAGAAAAATATTTCCAATAAGTAAAGAGTTAATATCACCCTGGCCAGGTGGTTCGGCTGGTTGGAGCATCCTCCCCATACACCAAAAGGTTGCAGGTTCGATTCCTGGTCAGGGCACATACCTAGGTTTTGGGTTTGATCCCCAGGGTTGCCTCCCCGGAGGCAACCAATCAATGTTTCTTTCTCTTTCTCTCTGTCTCTGTCTCTGTCTCTGTCTCTGTGTGTCTCTCTCCTCCTTCTTCCCTCTCTAAAATAAATTTTTAAAAAATTAGTTCAGCCCTAAAAAGAAATATTGAAATTATTTTGCCTGAATGTAGTTGTTAATATTTAATGACATTATCTGATGTTCATACTGCACTGTTTAAATTAAAAAATAAAAAAGATTTAAAAGTAGATGTATATAGTTGACTCCCGTGTGTATATTCTAATTTATAAATATGTGTGCATATATTTATAAATTAGATATTGCACTGTATTGATGATTGGTTATTATTGATTATCCCTGACTAGCAAGATTTCCGGTGGTTTTTGTTTTCTTCTTCTCCATGATTTCTATATACCAGTTGAATTAATTTTATAATAAATAATAGCATACAAATCTGGGGGAAAACCGAAATGTCTTTGTTTTGTAAATTGTTCTATTTCAGCACTCTATGAAGCCTAAGGAGGATCCAACAAGGGACCTGAAACAGCTTCTGCAGGAGCTGAGAAGCGTGATCAACGAGGAGCCCGCCGTGCCTCTGGGCAAGACGGAGGAAGGCGGGAGAACACCGTCCCTGGGGGCCGCCTATGGGTGTGTAAGACTGAGTGTCCTTCAGAGCGGGAAAGCTGCTGTCCCAGTGCTTTGCCAGCAAGTTGTCTGTGTGTTACGGCTCTAGGACAGTGATTTTCAACCTGTGTGCCGCACGAACTTTTAAAACATGCAATACCTGACTGTTTAGCCAGGGGCACTGACCTCTTTTCCCTTAGATTGTCAAATATAACAATGACAACAGCCAACACAATAGCCGTTTGGTGTGAGTGAATCAAAATTAAACCTATTTTTTGTCAGATCAGCAAAAAGCGTTATATATTTTTTGGTGTGCTTCAAAATTTTAGTAATTAGTTTATGTGTGGATGAGATGAAAAAGGTTGAAAATCACTGCTCTAGGAGGTTGAGGTTTAAATAACTTTGAAAGGTATCTGACATTACCAGGGATAGCAATATGAAAGTGGGGGAGTTAAGCAAAAGTAAAATAACTTGACAGCAAGAGAAAATAGTACAGTTATTCTGTTCAGAAAGCAGGGTGAGGTGTTACCCAAAGTTACATTTCTATATAAATTTATAGTTCCCAACAGATTTCACATCCATAATCTTACTTGATTATCACAATTATTTGAGACAAGACAGGGCAGGACTTATTTATCCCATTTTACAAATGAGAAAAATACGCATTTCAAAAGGTTGACTTGCCTACAACCACATAGGTGAAGCTAAAGCCAGAACCTTGGGAACTACAGAACTGCCCGGGTGTAAGCTAATAGGAAAGGCCCTGGCTCTCTAGGTATTCTTGCCAATGACCTATATGAAGTTAATGAAAATGCAGACCCAAAAAGGATTCAACCAGTTTATGAGCCTTTCTTATACATACCTACAGAAATCAATGAGATGTTCATATTCTTTTAAAATAGTGTTTTAAAATTTTATTGGATATTGTTATTAGATTAACTTAAAGCATTTTAATATGGCATATACTATATTTTTAGTATTATACTAGTTGTATACTAGCTGTTAGTATTATAACATCATTGTTGGAATAATCACTTTCTGGTTAGATGACAAGTATCTCAAAGGAATACTTTCTAATATTTATATTATTTATAATATTTATAAATAACCTCCAGTTTCTTAAGATGTTCACTTAGTATATATTAATTTTATTAATAATATTATTAACAGTAATAATGAAATGTTAGTAGTAACAGCGCAGTTACCTGGGATAACATTGTTACTCTGAAGCACACATCAGAAGCATTCTATTGGCCACCCCGTCAAAGAATATTCACATGTGCAGAGCACTTTTAATTTTGTCATAACTTTTTTTTTTTTTTAATCCTCACTCAAGGATATTTTTTTCCTCCATTGCTTTTCAGAGAGAGTGGAAGGGAGAGAGAGAGAGAATCATCGATGTGAGAGAGACACATCGATTGGGTGCCTCCCACACATGCCCCAAGCAAGGCCGGGGATCGAGCCTGCAACCAAGGTACATGCCCTTGGCTAGAATCAAACCCACAACCCTTCAGTCTGCAGGCCGACGCTCTAACCACTGAGGCAGACCGGCCAGGGCTTTCATAACTCTTTAATATGTCTTCTAAGCTAGGGCAGTATTATTAAGCTCATTTAACTAATGAATCCATTTAGGCGCAGACTGAGTTGATTCCTTCTATGAAGCAGAGAGGCAAAGTCAGAAGTAAAAGTTAGAGCCCCTGGCTCCCGACACTAATCATCCCACAAGGTTGCCATGACTTCCCTCATCAGATGTTCATCACTTCAGCCATTGTGGGCTTGAATCATATTGGATTGTATTGAACATGAATATAATGGTCCCTGCCTTTAGGGAATTTATGTTAGTTTGCTGTAATCCTGCTATGACCTTTTCACCAAAGCTTAAACTCTGTCTAAAGCTTTTAAGAATCCATGGAACAAAAAAGCATTTCTGAGTTGATGAACTTTGCAAAATTTGCTTGGAGGCCTAAAATCTGCTGTTGTATCTTAAAGAGGGGTTAAATACATATGAGCAACTGGTTATTCTGAAAATACATGGAATCTTGAAATTGTTCTTTGTATAATTAACAGTTTTATTTATTTATACAGAGATGACAGAGTAATAGATTGCATTACTGAATCAAGCCTGAGATTAGAGATATGCCATAGGTAAGAAGAACCTGGGGTTCTGAATCTAAATAATTGTCCAACAATTTTATATGTGACTAGGTGATTTGGGTATTCTGTTTAGATAGTTTGGGCATTTTGGGTTCATTGAGAGAAAGCTGTTATATTGTTTAACTGAAACTAAAAAAGGCTTTCAATGAAATGTACTAAAGTGATTTACTTTCTAGAAATCATTTAATAGGCTTTTTTTTTTTCTTATTTTAAATTTTGATGCTGTTTACCCATATGATGATATTTATATTGTGTGTCATACCAAAAACAGAAGACTTTCTACATTTACACATATTTACAATGGCTTACATCACTTTTGAGAGGAAGGTAGTCTGGAAGTAAGTGAGAACAACCTCAATAAAGGATTATAAGAACCTCACTGTAACCAGTCCTATTTTCATCAATAATTGAATAGCTGAATTTTTAATGGAATCATAAAAGGAGCATAAAGAAATGAAACCCATGACCCCTAATTAAGGACAACTTCTGATAAATGACTTTAGCCATAAAAGAAAAACAAGCTAATACTAATTTGTTATTAATATTAGATGCAGAGGCCAGTGCTTGCAGATCTTCTGTAGCTCCTCACTGCCTGCTGCATTAAGTACGCAGTCCCTCAGGCCGACATTGAAGAATCTCCCCAGCGTGTCACCAGCCTGCTTAATCTAGGCAGACTGCTCCTGACTTCCATCTCTTTGTCTTCAAGCTTCTCTCCATACTGTTTCCTCCACCTTGCAGACCCAGTGCCCCAATCTCATTCTTTTAAATCTGTGCTTGTCTAAAAGCAGTGTTCAGAGGAACAATTTTGTTTTATCACTAAGTTAAAATAATATTGCGTAGCCTTTAATTTCCCCCATCCCTCTGCCAACAGAAGCAACAACTCATTAAGGGACTCCACTGAAGACAGCAAATCAAGTGAAACTCTCAGTAGGTAAGAAATGATCTTACCAGCCCTGACTTTCAAAATACCCCCTTTACTGCTGCTGTTCATTCATTAGTTCAGAAGATCATTAACTGCCCACAATTTGCCACTCTGTGCTAGGCTTTTAGACTGTAACAGCGAGCAGGACAGACAGGGGCCTGTCCTTGAGTTGCTTACAATCTAAGGTCTGTTTATTGACTGACTGGAAAAAAAGCTTACTTCTTTTCTATTTTTAGAAAAAATAGAAATAAAAAATAGAAATATCAGAGCCCTTTTAATGTAATAAGGATATGAAGATGAATTCTGTTTAATTTCAAGTTAGGCAGAGGCTTATTCACTGCATTATCTTCAGCACCAAGCGCCTGCCACATAGTAGCCATTCAGTAAATATTTGGTTAGTGAATTAATTAAGCCATATTATAAATATTTTCTTACTGTCCCTGCTACTTGATCAATATACAATGAACTTGAATCTTTCTAAATATATCTTTCTGTTAACCTATAGGAAATGAGATTCGATTTTATTTCTTACCTGGGTGTGTAACACTGCATTGTTCCTATTAATATCTGTAGCTGTCCTCTGCATATTTTTATTTTTCTATTTCCTGGGTATTTTAGACTTGCTACAGTAAGTCTACCTAATCTATGATCTATGACAGGCATTATTACCCCCACGTATAGTTTAGTAATGAAGACCCTGATTGCTTAAGCAATTCGCCAAGGTCATAGAGCTTGTAAACTGGATCGGATCTGAACCCAGGTCTAGCAGGCTCCTGAGTACTGGGAACCTGGACTGAGCTGCCAGGTAAAGAGCCCAATCTTAGGCATGGGGCACAGAGGCTGCTTCCCAGAGCTAAGTAAAGCTCTGCTGTAGTTTTTCCAGACTAGAAAAATCTGTTTCTTTCAGCAGCCATGTGCTTGTAAAGAAGAGAGAATGGTGAGGAAAAGATGGGACCTAGCCCCTTCCTGTGTTCAAATGGGAAAAAGTGATTTTTAAGTATTTAACAGAAGCTATGAAAAGTATGATGCATATTAGAAAATTAAAACTGCATTTGAATGCTCTATACTGTGGCAAACTGGCCATTTTTTAAACTCACAAATGAATGAGAAAGAATACCACAATTGCTGTTTTACCTCAGCATTTCACTGTAGGTACAGCGCCTGTTCTTCAATCAACATCTTATAGTGTTTCTTAATCTAGAAACTTCTGCAGCCATATAAGCTAAGTCAATATATTCCACATACCTGGAGCAGAATGAAAAAGAAACAGATAACTGGAGTTTGTGCCTGAATTACTCTGAGAGCCACATCTCTCAGAAGTTTTGTGGAGCATTGACGACTCTTACTCTATTGTTATCACAATTTAATGAGCAGCATTATGCCCTAAGGAAGGTTTCCAGTAAAGGCTTCATAATACCTAGCTCCCTTTTTCACATCTCCATATGGATGTTTCAAGAAATGGAACATAATGGCCCAAAGATTATAATGACCAAATAAATAAAGATGGTCATTCCACAAAACCATTCCCCTCTAGCTTACACTTCAGTTTCACCAAGTGGCACCACCACTTTCCCAGGGCACCTATGTTTAAATCTTAACATTATCTTTTATTCTTTCTCTCTCATCTCATTTCTCCAGTCAACCAAATCTTATTAATGTTGACTGTAAAACAATTCTCAAATCTACTTTCTTCTTGGAACATCCCCTGGAACTGTCTGCATTATTTTCCTATGGCTGCTGTAACAAAATTGGTGGCTTAAAACAATACAAATTTATCTGTTAACAGTTCTGGATGCCTGAAGTCATAACTCAGTTTCACTGAGCTGAAGTCAAGATGTCACGCCCTCCAGAAGCTCCTGGGGCTAATTCATTTCCTGACCTTTTTCAGAGGTTCCTTCCAGAGCTTCCTTCCTTGCACTCTCACTTGTGGCTCCTTCATCCATCCTCAGCATAACATCCTCAAATCTCTCTCTGCTGAGACTGCCATATCATCTTCTCTCTGTGTGAAGTCTCCCCCTGCCTCCCTCTTGAAAAACACTTATGATGGCATTTAGGGCCCATCCAGATAATCCAGGAAAATCTCCCCATCTTGAAGTTCTTGATGTGATCACATCTGCAAAACCTCAACTGCCATACATGGTAACATTCATAGGTTCTTGGCATTTGGATACAGATATGTTTGGCAGCCATCGTTCAGCCATTGTTCATAGCCCTTCTGCCTTTCTTATGGACTATTGTGGTAGCCTCTACAGTGTTTAGTGTGGATGTTTTTAAGTCTCTCATCTCTTGCATGTTCCAGTCACTTCTATGCATCAATTTCAAATTGGTCTGCCTAAAACACGCCTCAGGCTGTATCTGTTGCCCAGCCTCCAAACCTTCAAAGGTTCCCCATTGCCTACTGCAGCAAGAACAGACTCTTTGCCCTGATAATGAAGACTATGCACAATGTAGCCACAACCTTCCTTTCCAGGGCTTTTCTCCTAACAAAACTATTCTCAAACTTCTTGGCCTCAGGACCCCTTTGCCGTTGCAACTATCAGTGAGGGTTCCAAAGAGCTTTTGTTTATCAGGGTCATTTCTACTATTGCCATTTTAAGTATTGGAAAAATAAATTTTAATTTTAAGCATTTAAAAATTTTAAGACACTGATATTTACTTAAAAATAACAAAGTGTATTGTTACATGTTACCATAATAATAGATTTTATTATGAAAATTAGCTATATTTTCAAACAAAAAATCATTGAAAAGGCATTATTTCACAATTTAATGCATGCTTTATAAAAGATAGCTGGATTCTCATGCTCACTTCAGCAGCACATATACTAAAGTTGGAATGATAGAGAGATTAGCATAGCCCTGCACAAGGGTGACATGCAAATTCGTGAAGCATTCCATAGTTAAAAAAAGAAAGCTGGATTCTCTGTACTTGCATTTACTCTGCTGTGATATCAGATATCATGGAGCCTCTGGGAATCTCACTGTGCCCTTGTTAAGAGACTGAGAGTTAAAAAACAATTATCTTAGCATTATAGCGAACACGGTCTTGACCTCACAAAGCCCCTGCAAGGGAACCACCTTGAGAACTGCTGCCATATATTCTCATACCAGTACCCAATCCACAGAGCTGTGTGGCCTTTTCAACTTACTGATTTAAATAAGTCTGATAGTTTTATAAAGTGATACTGCTGTTGCTAAAAGCGGTTTCTTTCTTTTTTCCATTAGTGTTTTCTTTTTTTTTAAACATATCTTTATTGATGTCAGAGAGAGGAAAGGAGGGGGGAGAGAGAGAGATAGAAACATCAATGATGAGAGAGTCATTGATCGGCTGCCTAGCCTGCAACCCGGGCATGTGCCCTGACCAGGAATCGAACCCCTATCTCCTGGATCCTAGGTCGATGCTCAACCACTGAGCCACACCTGGCCGGGCAGTGTTTTTATTTTTAAATATCTTATTAAGATCTCATCTCTTAGAATCTATGAGAGAAATATTTGGGTTTTATAGCTACTATTACACAAAAATGAATTTCCTAGCTAGGGTTATATACTATTACATTTTCATTTTGCAAAATGTTCATGGGCACTGAATGCATAAAGACAGTGCAACTTTGGATCTCCTTTGCAAGGTATTTTAGGACTTCTGCAGGTTAGGGTTAGGACTGCCACCTTGAGTTTATATTTTGAGCCATCACTTTTGCCTACATTTGCTTGTTCTGTCCATAAACATTTGTGCAGAGTTTTTGAAATGGAGTGTTTGCATGACCACTCTTATGCTTCCAGAGAGCCAGTCACATTACACACAGGAGATCTGGAAGATCCCTCCAGCAGCTTTACATTCCCATCTACAGGTGAGTCTTCAATGAAAGCACCGAAACGGGGCCTGCTCAAAACCTGACAGTGGCTCCATTTCCATGAGGATAAAAGCCTTGGGTATTTGCTAGAACATCCTTTCTCCCTCCCTCCAATCACTGGAAACATTTTCTCATGAAAGTTTGATATTTTGAGAGGTGTAGTGTACTATTTTTAATTAAATATGTGCTTTTACTTTTGTCCTTGCAAAATTTTAGTAAATCCATCTGTGAAAAATTCAGCTTCTCGTTCATTCCATTCTTCTCCTAAGAAGTCTCCAGTTCACTCGCTCCTAACTAGTTCAGCTGAAGAGTCGATAGGTTCCACATCTCAGTATAGATCTACCAAAACTGCTCGTTCAGCTGAATCTGTTAAAGGTAAGGATGATCTGACATCATTGATGAGATTAACTGATTTTCCTGCTCTGGTAAAGGGAAAGTCCCTTTCTATAACCAGAATCAGATGTTACATGGTGTTCTTATAGTCAAGTTCTGATAGCTGGCTGTGGAACCTAAGTGGTCTGACTTAAATAGAATAGCTATTGTGTACACACACACACACACACACTCCTTAGTAAACATACATAGATATTATATGCAAATATTATGTTTCTGCCATGAATAATGAATTTTTTTCTATTTATTATAAGATTTGGGGTCTTCTTTTAAATGCTGTGACTTTTCTTATTTACATTCTCTAAAACCACAGCTCTCTTCAGTCTCTGCCTTTGCAAATGCAAGTATCCCACAAACTGATCAAAATGTTCTCATTTAAAAAAATTTTTTTTCTAAGACAGATGGGGAAAAAGTGGTTTGATTTAGAATAAGTGCTTGATAAATAAACTCGAGTTAAATAAGTAGATGTTGAATTGAACTTGAAATGTCTTTTATCATACATGACTGTGACTCAAACAGCCCCAGGGCTCGAGGGCAGCATTCATTCCCTTTGACCAGGGGTAAACTAGGCAAGTTGTTGCATCAGAGGCTAAGATCAAAATTAAAATCTTGAGATTGCCAATCAAGTATTTTTTAGAGGTTGACGAAACTTAGCATACTTATTAGACGCCCTCCTCAGTTTTTCCCAGTTCACTGCCAAATTTCTTCCCAGTTCACTGTAGCCAGGTCAGCATCCAGGCTACCCTTTCCCATTTATAACCCCTTCCTCATTCAGGTGACATCAGCTAAAATGCACACTTGGCCTCGCTCACCTTCAGGAATGTTGCCAGTGTCAGTATTAAATCTTGCTCTTCCAAACCCTAAGCTCATGGGACTCTAAGGTTTGCTATGAAAGCTATCGTTTATAATGCAGAAGATATCATTAAACTTAAAGTATTCCTCTCACTCATCCCATTTAATGCCATGTAGTTAAATAAGAGTAAGTCAGATTGGTTTGAGACAAAATAAAATAAGCTAGCATTGCAAAATTTGGATAAGACACTTTTTTATTTTACAATAGTGTTGAAGGTTTTCATTATTTATTATTATTATTATATTTTTTAATCCTTACCCGAGGATATTTTTTCCATTGCTTTTCAGAGAGAGTGGAAGGGGGAGAAAGAGAGAAAGAGAGACAGAGAGAGAAACATGGATATGAGAGACACATTGATCGGTTGCCTCCAGCACGCACCCCGACTGGGGCCAGGGATGGAGCCTGCGACCAAGGTGCGTGCCCTTGGCTGGAATCAAACCTGGGACCCTTCAGTCCGCTGGCCGACACTCTAAGCACTGAGCCAAACCAACAGGGCAAGATTTTCATTATTTTAAAAGAAAGGTTGTTTAACCTGTAATTGGAAGATTTCTAAAATATATATTAAATAGACTTTTAATATCACATCTAAGCAATTTTCTAATAGCTTCACAGTCTCAGCCAATAGAAACCACAGGAAAAACATGCAGGAAGCTTCAGAACAGACTGGAAAGCTTGCAAACTCTGGTGGAAGATTTACAGATGAAGAACCAAGGTACGGTGTCCATTTGGCGAGATCTTCCTTGCTCAAAAGAATACTCACCTTCCCTTCAGGTTAAGCCTCCTATCTTTTGAGCCACTGCAGAGCATCTTGAATAAGCATCCTTAGTCAAAATATAAGGGTCTTAGCCATGGCCGAGCCCTCGATTCATTGTGTGACTTGCAGGTCACTTTAGTCCTGCTCTACTGCAGATCGGCATTTGTATGATGGTGGCCAGGGCACGATTGCGGTCAATAGTCAGAAAACAAAATAGCAGTGTTTAGCCTTACACGGGGCTTTCAGGAGCATGGACTGTGAGGGACTATGCCACAGGCTGCTCTGTCTCACTGCTTCACAATAACTCTCACTTAAAAAAAAAAAGGGGGGAGAGACTATGCCACAAAATGAACCACTAAATAAAAAGATAAATGACTTATAAATGTGCTAAAGCTACTTGAATGAGAAATTATTGTACTCTGCATTTGATAGGCAACTTTTGGGCATAAGTTTTAAGTGGATTTCCTGTGGATATGCGAGGATATGGATATGTTCCCATGGGCTTGGAGGGCTATCACATTTTATGCTTTTCTGACATAAGTTCATGAATCCTGGAGCCTTTTTTCAGAGGGAAATTAATTTTGGAGTATACATAGTACTCCATCTTTCTGACTTTAGAAAAATAAGTTGCAGATGAAGGATAATAAATATTTTCCTAAGAACAAATCCTTATAAAAGAAATTTAACCTCACTAATAATAATAGTTGCTATTAGCATTTGTTGAGCATTTACCAGCTATGTGGCAGGCCCTGTTTCCAGAACTTTACCGATGTTTTCTCCATGGGAGCCTCACAACAGCACGAGAGGTGGGCACTAGTGTTATGTCATTTGAAAATGAGGAAACTGAAGATAGGATCACAGCCAGTCAATAAACTCCAAGTCACACGTGCAGTGGATCTGGGACTTGATCTCTGTATTCCACATGTTTTACTGCACTAAGGCTATACCAAATTGTTACTAAAGAAAATTCCAGATCCCTTATGATGACCCCAGATCCCTATGGATATAAATATCAGGAAAAAGTGTTTCATTTTAAATTTATTGTGAGCTCTTTAAAGAAGATGCATTATCTTCTTTCCTTGCCCCATTTTTATCACACTTTAACTTGTATTTCTGAGCTCATCTGAGTAATAGTCCAAATGGGAGACATGTCGCATTTACTTAAAAAATAAAAAGACCTTTATGTTGGATACATTGTCTGGATGGACTGTCTCTTAGAAATTATGAAATAATTATTTTGGAGAGAATTTTGGGAGCATTTATCAAAATTTAAAGTACAAATCTGCCTTGACCCAGAAATTCCACTTCTAACAATTAATTCTACAAGAAGCAATTGTACACACACACAAAGGTTTGTTTACAAGAGTATTTCCTGTAACATCATTTATAAACAAACTAAGGAAGCAACTTTTAAAAATTTATTTGCTGACATGTCGGTACATCCATAAATGGAATACTGTGCAGTCATAACAAACATGAGCTGGACTGGGAAGATGTTAACGTTTTGTTACGTAAATCAAGCTACAGGACAATTAATACATTTACATTTATGTAAAGAAGAAAATTCTGTGCAGTGTGTGTGTGCGCGTGTACATGAGATATTCACCAGACTGTTTAGTGATGACCTCGGGGCGGGGGTGGGGGGAGTCAGCAGATGAAGGGACCAGAGGCAAAGACTGACTTGCGTCTCCCTTTGTACACTTCTGAGGTGTTCAGATTATTAACAATAGTATGTATTACTTCTATAATAACATTGTGCTCATTAAAATAACTGAGAAAGTAGAGATTTTTCCTTAGCTCTATTTCCATAACATATCTTTTCAAAAATATGCTACTTTGCGATTTTTAAGAACTTCTTGAGCTCAGAATGTGTGTATATCCTACAGTAGCGAGCTGACCTTTAAAAAAGCACATAATAGAATTAAAGCCTCAGTAAATGTTGCTGTTCTAACTTTGTTCTGTCGACATTTTCAGCAATGTCTTCGATGATCAGAAATCAAGAAAAGAGAATACAGAAAGTGAAAGACCAGGAAAAAATGTTGCTAAAATGACACCTTGCTTGCCTGGCCTTTACAGAGAGGTGATGCCCAGTTAATTGTGGTGTTGCCATAATTAGTGCCCTGTGACTTTTTTCTTTTTATGTGAAAATTTAATAAAAGATACCCTGTCTTATAAACTCTATTTTGAAATAAACTGTTCTCGAGTGCTCTCCCAGGAAAACTTCAAGCAGTACTAGTGGAAGTATTCATAACTTGTAATGTATTGATTTGTGCTAGTGTGTTGGAATAATTATGTGGTTTTTTTAATCATTTTTACTGGTGCTGAGGCAATAGTTTGTGTGTGTTTTTCCAACTTAAAAAACAACTTTCACATGAAAGATGTGGTACAATGCCCAGAACAGGACAGATTCCTCCATACTGACAGGATTCCTTCTGTGACCCTGAGCTCACTGATCTGTCAACATCAGTGAATGTGATCAGATAACAAAACATTGAGGCCCTAATAAAAACTTCTGGAAGAGTTTCTCTTTTATATCTTAACTATAAAGAATGAAGAAAACTCGTGTTATTCTTCAGTCAGTGGGTAACTTCTGCAGATTGAATGAGTTCAGTCAGCCTTAATTAGATTTGAACAAATTAGGGGGTTTTGTATGTGGAGTGTTTCCTAACACCAATAACCAACTCTTGTGGACACCAACAGGATGTCCTGTGAGTCAATTCAGATCTGACACTACCTGGAGTTAAGGTCTGATTCCACAGATTCAAGGGCCCAATCTCACAGGATGCCTTCCACTTCAGATGGCAGTCGAAAGTCCCAGACCACCTGTCCCAGACTGACAGGTTATAAATTGGGGGTCCCCACAACCTCCTCCTGAGTTTCAGTAACTTGCTAGAATGGATCACGAAACTTAGGAAAGTGCCCTAGTTACTGTTACTGGTGTATTATAAAGGAAACAACTCGGGAACAGCCAAATGTAAGAGATGCATAGGGCAAGGTGTGGGGTTCTGGTGCATGAAGCGTCCATGCCCTCAGGGTACACCACCCTTTCAGCACCTCGAAGTGTTCACCAACCCCAAAGCTCATTAAATCTCCTCCAGTCCTGAGCCACTTAACAGCAGGGAACACTCTGAGAAATGTGTGGTTAGGCGATCTCATCCCTGTGCGAATGTCACGCACACCGCAGGAGGGATAGCCCACCACTCTGCGGGACAGCCTGTGCTCCTGGCTACACGTCTGTACAGCATGGCACTGCGCTGAACACTGCAGGCGGCTGCAAGTCCTTGTGTATGTAAATATGAAAACTACGATACAAAAGACAAAAATGGTACACCTACATGAGTGGAGCTTGCAGGACTGGAAGTTGCCCTGGGTGGGTGAGTGAGTGGGGAGTGGGTGTGAAGGCCCAGGACGCTACTGTACACTCCGGTGGACTTTATAAGCACCGTACACTTAGGCTACACTAAATTTATAAAACAACATGATTAAATCAAGCACAAGAGAAAATGACGCAATCAAGAGATGTGGAAAACATGAGGTGAGGCTGCTGTCAGTGTAACAGGGCACACTGTTTTACAGTGAACTTTTTAATAAGTAGAGTACACTCTCAAGTGACAATAAAAAATATAGTGTAGTAAATACGTAAGCCGGTAACATAGTCATTTATTATCAAGTATTCCGCACTGTACATAATTGCATGTGCTGTACTTTTATAGGACTGGCAGCGCAGGTTTGATCACACCAGCATCTCCACGCCCACGTGAGTAATGATACGATGCCAGGACGGCTGCCACCTCACTAGGTGGCGGATTTTTCAGCTCCATTATAACCTAATTCGGTCCTTTGGTCCACAGCTGACTGGATAATCTTTATTGGGCACTTGACTGTATTCAAGAGTGTTTAGAGCTTACTCTGTTCTCCACCTCTTCCCAGAGATCGGTGGGTGGGGCTGAAAGTTCCAGACCTCTAATCACTCTGTCTTCCTGGTGACCAGCTCCATCCCGGGGGCTATAAAGGGCTCCACCAAAAACCACCTCACACTATAAGCTCAGGTGTGATCTAAAGGGCCTCATTGTGACTAACAAAAGACATTCGCATCTCAAGACATTCCAAGGATCTGAGCAGCTCAGTGCTAGGCACCTGGAACAAAGACCAAATCTATTACACCTCACGTGTGAACCAAACAGAAGGAGATAAGGTGTGCAAAACTGAATTGTGCTGAAGACAGTAGAGACCGTCACTCACTACAGAAGGCTGGCTGAACACAGTCTGTACTCCTGGCCCGGCCCAGATGTCACAGAAACTGCTGCCCAGCGAGAGGCTGTTTCCCAGCCCCACCTGCCCTCCACCATTAGGACATTGCATGTGGACAGAGTGACATGTGGCACTTTCTGGCCAAAAGTTCTTGAAAGCATTTGTGGTTTCCCTGCATTTCATTTCCCCTCCCATGGGCTGGTGACAGAGGACAGTGAGGGCCCAGAGGGCTGTAGGACAGAAGGAACCTGGGTGAGTCTCTGCAAGAGCTGCCCTCCTGCCAGAAAAGCCCACTGCTCACTGTTTAGTAAGAAATAAGCTTGTGTCACAGTGCCTGTGACAGCAGCTGGCGGCAGCCCTGTCCAGTACAGATAATAAACTAAGGCACATCGACTCTCTCTCACACACAAATCCTCATGTTTCTCCTCTAAATGACAGTGTTAGCACTCTAAGTGTTACAAGCAAGACAAGGAGGCCTCGGTTCTTGTCTTCTTGAGGGAAAGATTTCAATCAAACAAAGTGTAGAAAACAAAGCAAAATTTACTGACTGAAGCAAAAATATACTTAGGACAGTGAAACAGGGGCACAGAAGCAGCAAGGAGGAGAGCCCGGCTGGGCCGCTCTGGCTCACTGGGAAGTCAGAGAAGAGGGGGCCTTGGGGTCAGGTTCAGGGGTGAGCCAGGAGCGAGCTGCCTCATCCCACTGCTCCCCGGCTGCAAGTCTCGTGGGGTCCCTTAGAGGTTGGGGGGGAAGGAGAGGGGGAGGGAATGGCACAGGTGTGCTCCACGGAGGGAGAGCGAATTGGGACGTTCATCTTCAGGTGTTGAAAGGTTGGGCATTTAAGGGAGGTCTTGGGGCGGATCAGTATAATATTCATCAGCTTTACACTCATGTACCAAAATGAGATGATTTTTTAATAATTTTTTTTAATACATCTTTATTGATTTCAGAGAAAGGAAGGGAGGGGGAGAGCGAGCGAGTTGAAACATCACTGATGAGTCATTGATCGGCTGCCTCCTGCACGTCCCCTGCTGGGGATCAAGCCGGCAACCTGGGCATGTGCCCTGACGGGGAATCGCACCTCAATCTCCTGGATCCCAGGCTGATGCTCAGCCACTGAGCCACGCCCGGGTGAGGTTTATTCTTAATTTGTCTGTCCTTGGGTGTGGTTGGCAAATGGCACTTACTGGATTTCTGTGATGTGTCTCCCTGAGTAGGGTGACTTAAGCTATTTACCCTCTTGCTGGGGAGGAGAAATGCAAACCATTTACTCTCAAGTGTGCTTGGTACAGGGAAGATAGGATTTACTAGATGGCTGCAAAATTCTGTTTACCTGTCTGTCTCAGTTTCCCTATTCTGCTTCTCCTGGAATTTTCCTAGCTTTTACTATGCTATAACATTAGCACTCTAAGCACATCCAATTTTAAATAATTTTTTAAAATGAAATTTAGTATTATAAGTATCTCTTAAATCAACTGGATTTACTGAAAAATTATTTATTTCATAAGGTAATGATAAAATGGCTAATAATATAACTCTAAAGACTTTTATTTATAATAAGTTTTACCTTTAATTTTACCTAATAGAAGTGCTTGGGTATTCTGGGCAGTAACAGGAAATGCCTCACTGGTAGAATATTAAATTCATTATGAAGGATGTAAGAAATACACCCCAATTTAACATAAAAATGCTATGAGCTAAGAAATGAAACAATTCTTTTAAGCACTTTCTAACACTATCTTCAGTTGAGTTTAAGCTTTTTTCTGCAAAGACCACCTGTAACCAAAATTAATGTTTCACCAAAAGATGTTACACTTATTCAAAGCAATTTTAAGGTATTAGAATTCATTTTCAAGTACAGGTATGCATAAAACCCTCCAAAGGTAGCTTTGAAAGAAATATTCTGAAACTTTGTCTCCGAAGAGAGGAGAAAAACAGACTTCTCTGCCTCTTGATGTTTGCTTTTTTCTGTGTCTGTTATTAATGAAGGAAAATGTTACTATTTTATCTTACATTGAAGCTATTATGGAACCAAGATTTAGACAAATAATCCAGACATTTAATAAAGACATTAAAACTCAGGTTTTATTTTTTCAGTTATAATAGCAAATTTTAAATGCTTATTTCTTCTGAGTAAAGTTGTACTTCTCCATCACTGTCCTGTTACAGTTTGGTTACCCCCCCAAAACAGCTACTGGTAAGAAGGAGAGGGGAGGGGGTGAAAAGACTGCTATGCGACAGCCGTCTGTCGGTCCTTGCAGCAGGCAGAGATGGTGCCACAGAGGCCCCGGAGTGAACGACAGCCCTGTGCCCCCTGCAGTCAGCTGCGCCTGCCTGTGTCTCCCAGCCCCTAAGAGCCATCTTCCCGGCCACCTGGCTCAGCCCACACCTCAACCCCATTTCTGCTCTTTCCTCGTGGGCTGCTCCTGACGACAGACTCTGATCACGCCCTTGTTTCCACGCTAGCCTTCGATCGCAAGACAAAGACGGAACTGCCACCCTCAAGCCGTACCAGGCAGGTAAAATCAAGCCAAGAACACTGGGCAGCCGCAGAGCCTTCCCGAGCACATCAGTGACCGGGGATTTTCTGATCACAGTTCCACGTGGTGTGAACTATTTTTAAGCATAAAGTGTGCATGTAGTAACGAGCACGTTTCCCCAGCTGCGCCACAAAGAAACCAGCTTTTTGAAGGCAGCTTGTTTTGCATCCCCAAGGGCTCAGGCTCGAACCCTGTGCAGCTGGTTAGCTTTTGTGCTCCCTGACGGAGCTTCGCCAAGTCACTCCCCTGATGGACCAAGCCCTAAAGCCCGGATGGATCAGCATAAAGCCACCCATCAACGCCGCAGAAAAAACCCATGCTCCCTGGAAGCATTGTCTACGTATATATTTCTGCACATTAGACAAAAGCCACTAGCAAAGCTGAAACTACCTGACTAAACTTGGAGTTATTCTTCCTTCACTTTACAGTGTCCGGTGTTGCCGGAGCCTGCCGGCAGTCGAGCAGTAACCTGATTGAGGGGGTGAGGATTGGAAAAGAAAGACAAGAGACAGGATGGGATCGGGAGGGCTGCAGTACGTGACTGAGCCCCGAGTTTATTTTTCAGCTTGTAATTATAGC